GCTTTTTGGGGGGGGCGCCCCCAAAATCAGCCCCATTTGAGTGTGTCTATATTATGATGATTACTACTGGGATGACAACCTACAAAGGGATGTATAGTTTCCCCCGCCCCCTTTTCTATTCATTTCTGCCTCATCGCGTCCCTTGGCAAGATCTGTCCTGAGTCCCTGAGCCTAAGAAGTCTGACTCACCCAAAGTCATCCTGCAGGTCAGGAGAAATGCACTCTGCACATGCTCAGAAGCTATTGTCAAGTGCAGATAAGGGGAAATGCACTCTGCACATGCCAAGAGGATATCCTTATGTGCAAACAAGTAGAAATGCACTCTGCACATGCCCAGAGGCTATTGTCAAGTGCAGATAAGGGGAAATGAACTCTGCACATGCCAAGAGAATACCCTTATGTGCAAACAAGGATAAATGCACTCTGCACATGCTCAAAGGAAACTATGCACATGCAAATAAGGCTAAATGCACTCTGCATGTGCTCAGAAGCTATTCTCAAATGCAGATAAGGCTAAATGCACTCTGCACATGCACAGAAGCTATTCTCAAGTGCAGATAAGGCTCAATGCACTCTGCACATGCCAAGAGGATACCCTTATGTGCAAACAAGTAGAAATGCACCCTGTACATGCCCAGAGGCTATTCTCAAGTGCAGATAAGGATAAATGAACTCTGCACATGCCAAGAGGATACCCTTGTGCGCAAACAAGGACAAATGCACTCTGCACATGCTCAAAGGAAACTATGCACATGCAAATAAGGCTAAATGCACTCTGCACGTGCTCAGAAGCTATTCTCAAATGCAGATAAGGCTCAATGCACTCTGCACATGCACAGAAGCTATTCTCAAGTGCAGATAAGGCTCAATGCACTCTGCACATGCACAGAAGCTATTCTCAAGTGCAGATAAGGGGAAATGCACTCTGCACATGCACAGAAGCTATTCTCAAGTGCAGATAAGGGGAAATGCACTCTGCACATGCCAAGAGGATACCCTTATGTGCAAACAAGTAGAAATGCACTCTGCACATGCCCAGAGGCTATTCTCAAGTGCCGATAAGGAGAAATGCACTCTTCACATGCTCAAAGGAAACTATGCACATGCAAATAAGGCTAAATGCACTCTGCACGTGCTCAGAAGCTAGTCTCAAGTGCAAACAAGCAGAAATGCACTCTGCACATGCCCAGAAGCTATTCTCAAGTGCAGATAAGGATAAATGCACTCTGCATGTGTTCAGAAGCTATTCTTAAGTGCAGGTAAGGATACATGAACTCTGAACATGCCAAGAGGATACCCTTATGCGCAAACAAGGATAAATGCACTCTGCACATGCTCAGAGGCTATTCTCAAGTGCCGCTAAGGAGAAATGCACTCTGGACATGCCAAGGGGATAACTTTATGTGCAAACAAGCAGAAATGCACTCTGCACATGCCCAGAGGCTATTCTCAAGTGCAGATAAGGGGAAATGCACTCTGCATGTGCTATTCTTAAGTGCAGGTAAGGAGAAATGAACTCTGCACATGCCAAGAGGATACCCTTATGCGTAAACAAGCAGAAATGCACTCTGCACATGCTCAGAGACTATTTATTAAGTGCAGATCAGGACAAATGCACTCTGGAGCTGCTCAAAGGATACTATGCAAGGGCCAATAAGGCCAAATGCACTCTGCTCATGCTCCGGGACCACCCTGCGACTAACATTACGATAAGTGAATTCTGCACATGCTCAGAGGCCACGGAACATTTCCCAGTGACTATTCTAGAGGGATCTTGCGCCCGGCTTGCAACAGCAGCCAAGGGAAGGAAGGGAGGAAGGAGGGCGCGGAGGGCTCTGTTCCTTTCGATCAGCATCATCATTTACCCACGAAAAGCAAAGCCAGCGCTTCCGGGCAGAAAGCAAGCCTTGCCCGGGAACGAAGGAACGAACAAGCAAACGAGGAGGAGGGCAAAGTCCATCTGCGTGCAGAGAGAGAGAGAGGAGTAAAAATACACTCGGAAGAAAGGGAAGCCTGGGTGCATTCGATGTCCATCCTTCCTTTCGTCTTTCCTTCTTCCTTCCCTTCCACCCTTTGATCTTTCCTTCCTTCCCTCTTTCTCCTTCCTTCTGTCCCTTTTGTCTTTCCTTCCTCCTTCCCTTCTTTCCTTACCTCCCTTTTTCTCCCTCCCTCCTTCCACCCTTCCTTCCCTCTCTCCTCCTTTTCCTTCCTTCCCCTTTGTCTTTCCTTCTCTCTTGTTTTCCTCCCTCCCTTCCCTTCCTCCCTTCCTTCCATCTCTCTTTCTTTCCTCCTTCCATCCTTCCCTTTCTTCACCTCCCTCTCCTCCTTTCTTCTTCATTCCTTTTACTTCCTTTCTTCCCTTTTGTCTTTCCTTCCTTCTCCCTGTCCTCCCTCCATTCCTCTTCCACCCTTCTCTTTCTCTTTCTCCCCTCTTTCTCTTTCCTTCCTTCCCATTTGTCTTTCCTTCCTCCTTCCCTTCTCACACACTGAGGCCTCTCACACTGAACCCTTTTGGGATCCACACACACCTTCTCACACACTGAGGCCTATCTCACACTGAGGCCTCTCACACTGAACCCTTTTGGGATCCGCACACCTTCTCACGCACTGAGGCTTACCTCACACTGAGGCCTCTCACACTGAACCATTTTGGGATTCATGCACACCTTCTCACACACTGAGGCTTACCTCACACTGAGGCCTCTCACACTGAACCCTTTTGGGATCCACGCACACCTTCTCACACACTGAGGCCTACCTCACACTGAGGCCTCTCACACTGAACCCTTTTGGGATCCACGCACACCTTCTCACACACTGAGGCTTACCTCACACTGAGGCCTCTCACACTGAACCCTTTTGGGATCCACGCACACCTTCTCGCACACTGAGGCCTACCTCACACTGAACCCTTTTGGGATCCATGCACACCTTCCCACACACTGAGGCCTACCTCACACTGAGGCCTCCCACACTGAACCCTTTTGGGATCCACGCACACCGTCTCACACACTGAGGCTTACCTCACAGAGGCCTCTCTCACACTGAACCCATTTGGGATCCACACACACCTTCTCACACACTGAGGTCTACCTCACACTGAGGCCTCTCACACTGAACCTTCTGGTATCCACGCACACCTTCTCACACACTGAGGCCTACCTCACACGGAGGCCTCTCACACCGAACCCTTTTGAGATCCACGCACACCTTCTCACACACTGAGGCCTACCTCACACTGAGGCCTCTCACACCGAACCCTTTTGGGATCCACACACACCTTCTCACACACTGAGGCTTACCTCACACTGAGGCCTCTCACACTGAACCCTTTTGGGATCCACACACACCTTCTCACACACTGAGGCTTACCTCACACTGAGGCCTCTCACACACTGAACCCTTTTGGGATCCAAACATTTCCTGTCTTTCCTATCTGCCTCGGAAAGTGAAGAGGAAGGAAAGGGCAGGGAGGGGGCTTGGGGACCCTCCCCCCCATTTAGAAAGTGCAGATGAACCCAGGATGCTGTACTGAATTTAAATAAACTGGGTGACTCACTTAGGCATCCATTATTGACGCCTGGCTTGAATAATTCAGCAAAGAGCAAGCCAAACGCCATGGATTTTCCACTTTGCGGCAAAGCGCCAAGGGGCATCCCTCCCCCTCCCCAAAAGAGAGTCAAGAGGGCGAGGGAGGACCCCCCCCCCACGCCCGGGTGCCCTTTGCCCGCCTGCCAAGGCCTCGCTCCTCCGGTGCGAACTTGGCGAGCGGCTCGGTTGCGCCCAATCGACCGCGAGGAAAGAAGAGAGTACCAAAGGGGGAGAGAGGAGACCCTACGTTTTGCCACCCAAAAAGCCGCGCTGAACTCAGCCGAGCGAGTGATGAAGCGGGCGCCTCGTGCCACGCGGAATCGGGGAACTGGAAACAGCGCGGAAATCGAGTGGGAAAGCCTGGCACTTGGGTCACGCAGGCCTAAAAGCCCTTTGGGGAGAGCACACGCTCCGTGATGACATGATGGCAACAGGTGGAATCACGTGACATCCGTAGGGAGACCAAGGTGCTTGTTTACAACGCCATTGTCCTCCATTGTCCTCTCCTTTTGGGGAGAGGTGGTGACAGCCACCTCTCCCCAAAAGTCAAAAATGACACTGAAATAAAACACCGTCTGAGCTCTGCGAGTGCAGCATTTTTCCGAATGAAGCAGAGAGTGTTTGAGGACCGGGACATCGGTAGGGATACCAAGGTGCTTGTTTATAAAGCTATTGTCCTCCCAACCTTGGCAGCCACCTCTCCACAGAAGTCAACATTGACCCTAAATACAACACTGCCTGAGCTCTGCGAGTGCCGCATTTTTCCGAATGAAGCAGAGAGTGTTTGAGGACCGGGACATCCGTAGGGAGACCAAGGTGTTTGTTTACAAAGCCATTGTCCTCCCAACCCTGCTGTGGCAGCCACCTCTCCCCTAAAGTCAATGATGACACTGAAACACAACACCGCCTGAGCTCTGCGAGTGCAGCATTTTTCCGAATGAAGCAGAGAGTGTTTGAGGACTGGGACATCCGTACGAAGACCAAGGGGTTTGTTTACAAAGCTATTTTCCTCTTAACCCTGCTGTGGCAGCCACCTTTCCACAAAAGTCAACATTGACACTGAAATACAACACCGCCTGAGCTCTGCGAGTGCAGTGCTTTTCCGAATGAAGCACAGAGTGTTTGAGGACCGGGATATCCGTAGGGAGACCAAGATGCTTATTTACAAAACTGTTGTCCTCCAAACCCTGCTGTGGCAGCCTCCTCTCCCCAAAAGTCAATACTGAAACTGAAATACAACACCGCCTGAGCTCTGCAAGTGCAGCATTTTTCCGAATGAAGCAGAGAGTGTTTGAGGACCAGGACTTTTGGTAAGCCCTGGCCCTTGAGTGCTCCAGCTGGAGGTCAGCTGTGACCAGCAGTGCTGCAGAATTTCTCCCCATTTCCTAGGAAGTAAATATTGGACTCACCGCAGGCTCACGGGATACGCGGAGCTCTTATCTGCCCTGGAAGGAAAAAGAACAAAATGGGGAAAGGAGCAAGAGAGGAATTCACATCTATGGCAGGCATCCTCAGGGGTTGTGAGGTCTGTTGGAAATGAGGAAAGTGGGGTTTATATCCCTGTGGAATGGTGTCTAGAGAGGGAAAAGGGACTCTTGTCTGCTTGAGGTAGGTAGGTGTAATATTGCTAATAATATTATAGTATAATTTTATAGTACAATATAGTAATATATAATATTAATATTGTGCTATGGTAATAATATAATATATTGTATTTACATTTTACTTGTAAGCTGCTCTGAGTCCCCTTCGGGGTGAGAAGGGCGGCATATAAATGTCGTAAATAAATAAAATCAATATAATTTTATAGTACAATATAGTAATATATGATATTAATATTGTGCTATGGTAATAATATAATATAATATAATATAATATAATATAATATAATATATTGTGTTTACATTTTACTTGTAAGCTGCTCTGAGTCCCCTTCAAGGTGAGAAGGGCGGCATATAAATGTCGTAAATAAATAAAATAAATAAAGCTGAACTACTTAGGTCAACAGTGAGCTGGGCTGGCAGTCAGGTGCTCATCCCGACCTGGGCTTTGAACTGGCAACTTTTTGGTTGGTAGATCTTATTGATGCTGGTTGTATGTTACCAGCTGTGCTATAGTCTGAGTTAGCCTCCCAACAAAGGATTCCCCCAGGCAGGAATCAGCCAGGCCTTGATGCTGCAAGGCTTTTCAATGCTAATCAAGGTGTCTGATTCTGAGTCCTCCTCCTGCCCACGGCCTCCTTCTTTCCCTCCGTTCCCAAAACACCCGCAGGGTCCCCGTGTGCCGAAACGTTCCCAAACAAGGGTTGTTTTGGCCTGGCCCGCACGGCCCCAAACCTGTCCGGCCAGACTGGGAACCGGTCTCTGTGTTTGGGGTCAGCAGGCGCTCCCCCCAAGCAAAATAAGGCCAAAGGGTGGAAAGTGAGAAACGTAAACACACTCATACACACACACACAAAACAGACTCTCTTTCGCCTTTCCTCAAGGTGGTTCGGAGAGGGACTACACCCCCCATCGTCCCCCCACAGCACAGCCCCACTGAGGGTGATGGGAACAGGGGGAGAGGCCCATTTGGCCCGAGGAATGCCTGGCGTGGGCTATGGACCTCGGCGGTGGTCACGGGTCGTGGCCTCCTCCTCCCACGGGGAGCGCAGGGCGACAGAAAGGCCGCTTTGTCCCCAAGGGAGGGATTTGGGGGGGGGCATTCCAGGGGGATCCCACTCCTCTCGTTGGAGTCGCTCGCATCCCACTTTCCTCCCTGGAATGAGACTCCAGGGGGAGAACAAGGCATGGAAAACGACCTTACACAATACACAAAAGTATTCGGTTTGCAAAGGAACCCAGGACGTCCAGGAGGAAATATGGGAAAACGTTGCAAGACGATCAGCTGCACACACAGCAGCGTGGGTGCAACGAAAGGCACGGGCCTCCCCCCAAGTAAGACAGAATACGTGCACAACCGAGATTATAAATCATTATATTATCTTAGAGTATGACACAAACGCAAGACATACACACAACATACATACAACATGCAACATACACACAACATAAACAATACAAACATTCAGCATGCAAGATACACAATACATACATCCATCATGCAATATACATAGTACATACACACAACATACACAATACCTACACACAACATGCAACAGACACACAAAATAATACAGGCAGGCAGCATGCAACATGCACAGTACATACATACATCATGCACTATACCTAATACATTCAGACAACATACACAATATATACACATAACATGCAACATACACAGTCCATACACACAACATGCAACATACATACAACATACACGCAACATGCAACATACACAATACATACATACATCATGCAACACACAATACACACAATACACAGTAACGACATACAGCATACAACATAAACAATACATACATACAACATGCAACATACACACAATATAAACAATACATACATGCAACATATATAATACATACATCACGCAACATACACAATACATTCATACATCATGCACAATACATACATACATCATGCAACATACACAATACATACAGACAACATACACAATACATACAGAAATCATGCAACGTACACAATACATACAGACAACATATCTGTATGTATTGTGTATACACAATGCATATATACAACGTGCAACTTACATAATACATATATACAACATGGAACACTATATATATACACACATACATAAAACATGCAGCATATACACAACATACACAATACATACACAAACTGAGGTCAAAATTGTATTGCAGTTTTTGAAACCTGTCACGGTGAGGAAGAAAGGCAAGAGGAAGGGGAAGAAGCAGCACGCTTCTTCCCCAAGACCAACTTGGGGAGGCCAAGACCAACTTGGGGAGGGCATGTCCCAGAATCCTCAACAGTGGCTGGAACCCCCGAGCAGAGGGCCCATCGTCCCTGGCTGAGCCCTACTCACCCTCCATAGGCCCCAAAGGTGAAGCTGCGCTTGCGAGACCCCATGGCGCTGATCTCAGGCAAGGTTGCTTTGCAAAGGGGAGATCCCACAAAAGAGGAGGAGGAGGGGGGAGGAAGGGCCACTCCTCTTCCGTGCCCCTCCCTCCCTCCCTCTCTGACCGCCTCTGGCCCAAACCTGCTGGACACTTGCCCTGGTCAGTTCCAGCCCCCAAGGGCACTGGGGTCACCTCTCCAGTCGTCCAGGAGCGCTGGGCAAGGAAGCCGGTCTTGGAAATACCCGTCCCCCCCCCTTTTTGCACCTTCATGCATGTGCAAGTGTGGGAGAGGACGCGATGTGTGAGAGATACAAAGAACGAGTGTTTGGGGAGACAGGGAAAGGAGTAGGTGTGGCAGAGAGAAAGGAATCACGCGCTTGTGAGAGAGAGACACAAGTGTGCAAGGAAGACCGAGAAAAAGAGAAGAAGGTGTGAGAGACACTGAGTCAGCGAGAGAGAGAGACTGGTGGTTGTGCCAGAGACTGCTGAGTGTGGAACAGGGAGGTGAGTGTCTGTGAGAAAGAATCAAGACAACACTGAGTGTGTGAGACAGAGAGGTGAGTGTGCAAAAGGTATGTGAGTGCGCAACAGAGAAATGGAAGGACAGGTACTTGTGACACAGAGAGGTGAGTGTCTGTGAGAAAGAGACAAGAGAACATCAAGTGTGTGAGGCAGAAACAGGTGATTTTGCAAGTGTGAGAGGTAAGTGTGTGAGAGATAGGTGAGTGTGCAACAGAGAAATGGAAAGACACGTGGTTGTGACACAGACAGATAAGTGTGAAACAGAGAGGTGAGCATCTGTGAGAAAGAGACAAGAGAGCATGGAGTGTGTGAGTCAGAGACAGGTGATTTTGCAAGTGCAAGAGGTGAGCGTGCAACATAGAAATGGAAAGACGGGGTTGTGACACAGACAGGTGAGTGTGACACAGAGAGGTGAGTTTGAGAAAGAGACAAGATAACATTGAGTGTGTGAGGCAGAGACAGGTGATTTGGCAAGCGAGAGAGGTGAGTGTGTGAGAGATAGGTGAGTGGGCAACAAAGAAAGGGAAGGACAGGTAGTTGTGACACAGACAGGTGAGTGTGACACAGAGAGGTGAGCGACTGTGAGAAAGAGACAAGAGAACATTGAGTGTGTGAGGCAGAAACAGGTGATTTTGCAAGTGCAAGAGGTGAGTGTGCAACAGAGAAATGGAAAGACAAGGGGTTGTGACACAGACAGGTGAGTGTGAAACAGAGAGGTGAGCGTCTGTGAGAAAGAGACAAGATAACATCAAGTGTGTGAGGCAGACACAAGTGATTTGGCAAATGAGAGAGGTGAATGTGTGAGAGATAGGTGAGTGTGCAACAGAGAAATGGACAGACAGGAGGTTCTGCCGCAGAGTGTGAAACAGAGAGGTGAGTGTGAGAAAGAGACAAGAGAACATCGAGTGTGTGAGGCAGAGACAGGTGATTTTGCAAGTGTGAGAGGTGAGTGTGTGAGAGATAGGTGAGTGTGCAACAGAGAAATGGAAAACCAAGTGGTTGTGCCGCAGAGTGTGAAACAGAGAGGTGAGTGTGAGAAAGAGAGAAGAGAACATCGAGTGTGCGAGGCAGAGACAGGTGATTTTGCAAGTGTGAGAGGTAAGTGTGCAAGAGATAGGTGAGTGTGCAACAGAGAAATGGAAAGACAGGGGGTTGTGCCGAAGAGTGTGAAACAGAGAGGTGCGTGTGAGAAAGAGACAAGATAACATTGAGTGTGTGAGGCAGAGACAGGTGATTTTGCAAGTGTGAGAGGTAAGTGTGCGAGAGATAGGTGAGTGTGCAACAGAGAAATGGAAAGACAGGTGGTTGTGCCGCAGAGTGTGAAAAAGAGACAAGAGAAAATCAACTGTGTGAGACAGAGACAGGTGATTTGGCAAACAAGAGAGGTGAGTGTGCAAGAGATAGGTGAGTGTGCAACAGAGCAACGGAAAAACAGGTGGTTGTGCAAGAGGGTCTGGGGTTGGACAGGGCCCCCTCCTGGAAGAAAATGGCCGAGGCAACGCTCAGCGAGGAGCAAAACTGGAGCATTGAGGGAGGCAGGACCTTGGACAGCGACCCTGGCCTTTTGGCAAGACATCAAAGCGATACAGAACTATGGCGCATCCAAACGCTTCCTTTGGGGGATTTATAGTTTGGTGACGCCCCAGCCCTCTTGGGCAGAGAAGGTCAAAGGCCTGGCAAAACTACATCTCCCAGGATCCCACAGTATTCAAGCACTGCACTTCCTAACTCTCCCCCGAAAGCCAACTGGGATCCCTTCTCCTCCATCCTGCAGAGGCGGGTTCGGGTGCCACGGCTCGGAGCGTGTGTGCCAAGCGTTTCCGCCCCCTCCGTTTGCACACTTGCTGTTCCTTGGCACAATCGCCCGCTTTTCCCCGCCGGGGAGCCTGGCAACAGGTGGGAGGTGCGAAGGAGGAAGAGAAGAAA